AGCCTCATATTTTAATATTGAAGGATTCTACCAGGAAAATATTAAACGAAGCAGGAAAAATCAAAAGAAAATGGAAGGAACGTACAGAGTCATTATACCAAAAAGAACTGGTCGACATTCAGGAGGTAGCATATGATCAGAAACTGATGGTACTGAAGGAAGAGGTCCAAGTCGCACTGAAGGCATTGGCAAAAAACAAGGCTCCAGGAAGTGACGGAGTACAATTGAGATGTTTCAACAAACGGATGCAGCGCTGAAAGTGCTCACTTGTCTATGCCAAGAAATTTGGAAGACAGCTACCTAGCCAATCGCCTGGAAGAGGTCCATATTTAAGCCTATTTCAAAGAAAGGTGATCCAACCAAATGCAGAAATTATCAAAGAATATCATTAGTATCACAGGCAAGTAAAATTTTGCTGAGGATCATTCAAAAGCAGCTGCATACTGTTTAATGAGAAACTATTTGTTCTGCAAACTTTCATCTAAGGTACAAAAAAAAAAGAATTATCTATGTGAGATCAAATTGACAACAGCAACTCAAAAGGTTTGATGGGAAGCCTAGGGGACAGTGAGTTGAAGATAATGGTGATGAAATAATTTGGAAAAGGATACTGAGAATAGCAGCACAACTGGAAAAATGTAATTGAAGTCACTGAATTGTACATGTAGAAACTTTTGAAATGGTGTAACTTTGGCTATGTATATTTTCACCAAAAAAAAAGGTCCTCCAAGGCCGAGAAGGGAGAGTGTTAACATGTCGTGGGGTTGTTAACCAATGTCATAAAACAATATGTGTACTGACTGTTTAATGAAAAACTATTTGTTCTATAAACCTTCATTTAAAGTACAATAAAAAAAAATTTAAAAAAAAAGCAGCTGCAGCAGTACATCCACAGGGAACGGCCAGAAATTCAAGTCGGATTCAGAAGAGGACATGGAACCAGGGATATCATTGTATTATTGCTGATGTCAGATGGATCCTGGCTGAAAGCAGCGAATACCAGAAAGATGTTTACCTGTGTTTTATTGACTATTCAAAGGCATTCGACTCTGTGGATCATAACAAATTATGGATAACATTGTGAAGAATAGGGGTTCCATAACACTTAATTGTGCTCATTAGGTACCTGTACATAGAACAAGAGGTGGTCATTCAAACAGAACAAGGAGATATTGTGTGGTTTACAATCAAGGAAGGTGTAGGTCAGGGTAGTATCCTTTCACCACTGAATCTGTATGCTGAGCAAACAATCAGAGAAGCTGGACTGTATGAAGAAGAATGTGGCATCAGGATTGGAGGAAGACTCATTAACAACCTGTGATATGCAGATG